TAGTCCAGGCTGGCCTCGAACTCACAGAGATCCGCCTGGCTCTGCCTCCCGAGTGCTGGGATTAAAGGCGTGCGCCACCACCACCCGGCTTTTGTTATCTTTCTAACAATTATTTTTACATGTTTGAAAATAAAAAATATTTAAAGGGACCAGTGTTTATCTCTAAGGATAGAATTTGAGTTTAAGTCATGTAACAAATGTGTTGGTCGTGTTTGTTTGATTTAAAAAATAAACTCTTAAACAGTAGATGTTTCACTACATCTAATCACACTCAGCAATGAGAAATGCATCCCTATACAGAGCAGACAACAGCACTTGAGCTAGCACATCAGTTAGAGCATTAGGAGCATGAACTGCTCTTGCAGAAGGGTTCTGTTTTCAGAACCACGACAGGTAGCCCATAACTGAGGAAACTCCAGTCCAGGGAAACAGACGTCTCTAGACTCCTTGGGTACTCACGTGCATGTACCCAGGAACACACGCATAACTAGAGAAACAAAATCCCACCCCACCCCCACAAAGCATACTACTTCAAACAAAAGCAATTTGTTACCAGAATGGAGAGAGATTAATTTAGTGCCTTTCTTGTACCCAGAACACTGAAATGATCAAAACCCAGAGGTCATATGGAGTAAAAATCCCACAGCTGTCTTGAATTTTTACCTGCGGTGGTTCACTTGGGGACCCTAAAGAGGAACAATTTTCATTCTCATCCACTTTTATTTGTTCATAAGTCCGCTTCCTTGTCTTCTTATCTCCATCTGATTTAAAAAACATTAAATTTTATGAAAGATGTGCTTTCCTGAGAGGACCACAAAAAGAGACCAAGATCCTGTACTTACACAGAGCATGCTTAAGTTGCTCTAACACATCGTTTTCATACACAGATCGCTCTTCCCAAATAGACAATACTCTGCCAAGGTGCTTCTTACAACTTTCATCAGTTTCACTAAATTTAAAAAAAAAAAAGAAGTTAAAACAATGACAGTAAAAATGTACAGTGAGTGCTACCACGAAGTTATGGTGACTTAAAATGGGAGCAATACTGGCCCAGCAAGAGCTACTCAGGTGAGCTGGGCACCACTAGCAGCAGCTCAGGCAAGGTATGACGGAAACCCTTAAGAACTCAGTAATGGGGGCTGGAGAGATGGCTCAGAGGTTAAGAGCACTGCTTGTTCTTCCAAAGGTCCTGAGTTCAATTCCCAGCAACCACATGGTGGCTCACAACCATCTGTAGTGAGATCTGGTGCCCTCTTCTGGCCTGCAGGGGTGTGTGCAGACAGAACACTGTATATATAATAAATAAATAAATCTTTTAAAAAAAAAGAAAGAAAGAAAGAAAATATGGAAATCCGGGCCGGGCGGTGTTGGCGCACGCCTTTAATCCCAGCACTCGGGAGGCAGAGGCAGGCAGATCTCTGTGAGTTCAAGGCCAGCCTGGGCTACCAAGTGAGTCTCAGTAGCAAAGCTACACAGAGAAACCCTGTCTCGAAAAATCAAAAAAAAAAAAGAAAATATGGAAATCCGCCAGGCAGTGGTGGCGCACGCCTTTGATCCCAGCACTCCGGAGGCAGAGCCAGGCAGATGTCTGTGAGTTCGAGGCCAGCCTGGTCTCCAAAGCGAGTTCCAGGAAAGGCGCAAAACTACACAGAGAAACCCTGTCTCGAAAAACCAAAAGAACTCAGTAACAACTACAAAGAGAAACCCTATCTCGAAAAACAAACAAGCAAGCAAAACAACAACCACCAAAAAAACCCAAAAGAACAAAAAACTCAGTAATAGAACAGTAAACAAAATGGTTTTCGTGGTCAAAGTTTTAGGAGCAGACACTAGAGGCTTACAAAGATGATGCTCCCAAGTGAAAGGCGCTAACGGGCAGTTCCAGGGCACTTTTGATGTCTGCTGAGCCCACCACTACTTTTGGCACAGGAATCAAGTGGAGCTTTACAGCAGCCGTTGTTCATAGAGGAATGAGAACATGGTGCTACAGACAGCACCGAGAGATCTAGCCCAGTCAGAGACCAGGAGTTCCATCTGAGAAACAAAATCTGAAGACTGGTTCTACAGGAAAATGGGACATGGTGACTTTCAACAATCTGCCTCTTCCTTCAGCACTATCTCAAGGGTGTGTGTGTGTGTGTGTGTGTGTGTGTGTGTGTGTGTGTAGTTGTGAGCTTCCATGTGGGTGCTGAGAAACTAGTCCAGCTCCTCTGTAAGAGCTGTGCATGCTCCTAACTACTGAGCCATCACTCTAGTCCCTTGCCTGGGTTTTTATACCATTATTCGCTGATCTCCAGTCTCAACTCCTTCACTTTAAAAAGTATCCACCCTATATCAAATCAGAGCAAGTTCTTCTCAACCATCTCTAAAACTCAGATCCTCAGCCTGAGCCACAGTCCCACAGCCTCTGCCTTCTGGCAAACTCTCCATACCTCCTAACATTTTCTCTCATTCAAATCTCCTTGCTGATCTTCAAACTTGCCCAGACCACTACTGTTCACTCTCTCTTTTCCATAGGCAGATTTTTCTCTTTTGGCCGCCATCTCACAAAAAACGACAGAGACTTTTTATTAATTATGAAAGCTTGGCCTTAGCTTAGGCTTGTTTCTAACTAGCTCTTATAACTTAACTTATTTCTATTAATTTACAGCTTTATCTCTGTACTGCCCGGCCTGCTTGTCTGGTGTCTCTGCCTTCTTCCCAATGTTCTCTGTCCAGAAGTCCCTGCTACACCTCCGGCCTACTTATTAGGCATTTAGCTTTTTATTAAGCCTATCACAGTGACACATCTTCACACAGTGTAAAGGAATATTCCACAACACTTTCCCCCTTAGACAAATGGTTCATTTCATCCTTTAAGGCAATAGTTCTCAACCCTCCTAATGCTGTGACCCTTTAATACAGTTCCTCATATTGCGGTGACCCCCAACCATAAAATACAGACCCCCAACCATAAAATTTTTTGTTGCTACTTCATAACTGTAATTTTGCTACTGTTATGAACAATACTGTAAATATTTTCAGAGACAGGTGTTCCATCTCTGAAAGAGATATGACCCACAGGTTGAGAACCATTGCTTTAAGCACTGGTTCAAATCTACCCTCCCAAAGAGTTCTTTGCCCCTTCATATAGCTCAACACCTCCATACCCTCCCTCCCTCCCTCCCTCCCTCCCTCCCCCTCTCTCTCTCTCTCTCTTTCTCTCTCTCTCTTTCTTTTTTTCTCTCTCTCTTTCTTTCCTTTTCTTCCTTCCTTCCTTCCTTTCTCTACTTCATTTTCCTTTAGACCATGTCATTACAACAGTATATTGTATGTTATTACAACATACACCCATGCGTCTATCTAGTTATTATCACCTTTAATACACTCTGAATCTAAGACCAACTAAACAGAACACTATCTTCCTTATTAATGTATACTCAGAGCCTATCACATAGTATGAGGTCAACATAGATTCTAGTAAATTCTAGAAAGGAACATATATAAAAGCATAAGGGGGGGGGCTGGGAATATAGCTCAGTTGAGAGAGTACTTGCCTAGCATATATGAAACCTTGGTTTGATCTCCAGCACCACATGTCTGTAATCCCAGCAGCACTTGGGAAGGACAGGCAGGAGGATAAGAAATTCATGAACAAAAATAAAAATAAAGAAAAAAAGAAATTCAGCCATTCTTGACTACATGCCAAGTTCAGGGTCAGCTTGGGATATATGAGATCCTATCTCAAAAATAGAAGTATCTACAGTGGGAATTTTAGGATAGCCAGGACTACATAGAGAAATCCTGTCTTGAAAAACAAAACCGTTATTTATTTTGCAAGGTGCTGGTACGCACCTTTAATCCCAGAACTCTGAGAGGCAGAGGCAGGCAGATCTCTGTGAGTTCAAGGCCAGTCTGGTCAACAGAGCTAGTTCTAGGACAGCCAAGGTTACACAAAGAAACCCTATCTCGAAAAAGCCAAACAAACAAACAAAACAGCAGGAAGTACACAGAACTTAAAAGAGTGTATTAGTTTACAATGCAGACTACAGGCTGGGAAAAAACACAATGCACATAAGTCCAGAAAGGAGCACCTTATGTAGCGTAAGTCTTGCTCAGAGACAAGGGGTATTATGAGTACTCTACCACTCTGCCTAAAGCTTCCCCAGAGGACCAAGCCATACCAGGGGAGAGGCTACTGCAATCACCAAGAAAAGATAATATGGTAACTAGACAGGAAAATGGCACCTGGTGGGCCGTGCACGCCATGGAATGGAACATACAGTCAGGGAGAAGGGAGCAGAGATGACACCCATCTCTTGCCTGGTATCAGGACAGATGGAGCTGTCATTCACTGAGATAATGAGACCTAGAGGAGGAGTTGGCAGGAACACGGACATAGTTCAAAGTTTAGACAGTGAGCTTGAGACACTTAGCAGAACATCAGCAACTAACTGGGCACACAGCTCTGGATGGAGACAGAAGTTGGACTGAGCCAGGTTGGGGCCTTTAGTCTCCAGTCAGGAGTCAGAGACAGAGAGATCTCTGAGTTCAAGGTTAGTCAGGCTACACAGAATTCCAGGCCAGCCAGGGCTACACAGTTACATCCTGTCTCAAAAAGAGAAAAAAAAAAAGGTTTGGACTGTATAATAGGATTCTAAGTTGTTATCGTATGGACAACATTAAACTCGGTGAGTAAACAAACAAACCACCAAAGGCAAGAGAAGAGCATGGCCACAGAAGAAGGTGCAGCACTTCGCTCTACACAGCACACCAGGAACAGGCAGAAGGCAAAGTGGAAACTGCAGGTCACATGACATTTAGAAAGCAAGCAACAGCAACACCTGACATGGCGATTCTTTCACCCAATAGTACTTACTGTGTATGATCACCATGTACCATCGTATGCTGAAGTCCAGCCTGATTTATTATCTTATTCAGCATTGCTTGCCTGGGAAATCTATTATATACCAGCATACAATATTTGGAAATAAGTATATAAGACAGGCCAGCCAGATGGCTCAGTAAATAAAGGCACTTGTCTTACAAACCCAGGGACTTGAGTCCAATCCCTGGGACCTACATTACAGAAGGAAAGAACCAACTCTAACCTCCACATGTGTGCAATGGTGTATGTGCACACACACATATAAATGAAATAGAAATATTTAGAGTGCATAAACTAAGATTTCCACATGCAAAATTACCTGGAAAAAAATCTGTTTGAAGTTTGTGACTATTTTAAATATTCTTTATTTCTTTTTTTTAATTTTTACTTATGTGCATTGGTGTTTTGTCTGCATGTATATTGCATAAAGGTGTCAGATCCACTGGAACTTGTGTTACAGACAGCTGTGAGCTGCCATGTGGGTGCTGGGAATTGAACCCAGGTCCTCTGGGAAGAACAGCTAGTTCTCTTAAGTGCTGAGCCATCTCTCCAGCCCCATATGCACTTTACAACGGTAGAAAATACACATACACACACACACCAAAAAAAAAAACCTGTAAAAACACTGTGGTATGAAATAAGTCCAGAAATAGCAAACATAAGATGGAGTTCTACAAGCATATATTTTCAGTTCAGTTCCTTTCTTTACTCTCAGTAAAGACGTTCATCCCAATACAAGAGGACTTCTGGATGTTGTTTGTTTTTGCTCTTTTGGGGGCCCTACCACCCATCTCCCAAATACATCACACACAGAGGCTTATTCTTAATTATAAAAATCCATCATGGGCCGGGCGGTGGTGGCGCACGCCTTTAATCCCAGCACTTGGGAGGCAGAGCCAGGTGAATCTCTGTGAGTTCGAGGCCAGCCTGGGCTACCAAGTGAGTTCCAGGAAAGGCGCAAAGCTACACAGAGAAACCCTGTCTCGGAAAAAAAAAGTCCATCCTTAGCTCAGCTTGTTTCTTTTTTTCTTTTAGATTTATTTAATTATTATATATACAATGTAATGTAATGTCTGCATGTATCCTTGCAGGCCAGAAGAGGGCACCAGATCTCATTACAGATGGTTGTGAGCCACCATGTGGTTGTTGGGAATTGAACTCAGAACCTCTGGATGAACAGCCAGTGCTCTTAACCTCTGAGCCATCTATCTCTCCAGCCCTCGGCTTGTTTCTTGCCATCTTTCCTTAACTTTAAGTTAACCTGGCTGTCTTTTGCCTCTGGGCTTTTACCTTTCTCTATTTTTGTATACCTTTCTTTGTTTCTTACTCCATGGCTTGCTGGCTGTGTAGCCAGGTGGCTGGCCCCTGATGCCCTTCTCCTCCTCTTGCTACTGCTCCCAGATTTCTCCTATATAGTCTCTCTGCCTGCCAGCCCCGCCTATCCTTCCTCCTGCCTTGCTATTGACCGTTCAGTTCTTTATTAGACTATCAGGTGTTTTTAGATACAGCTTCACTCGCTTAGCAACACAGCTTCACAGAGTTAAACAAATGCAACATAAACAAAAGTAACACACCTTAAATTAATATTCTACAACATCTGGTCTCTTCCAGGAAAGCCATGAATCAAGCATTCCAAATGCCCCTCAGCGGCAGACCAAATCCTCACAGAAAGCAAAAACCATCAAATTCCAAATGAAAGCTTCAAACAAACACATTCCATTTTTTCGTGCTGATTCTAACCTTACCTCATGTACAGAAAGGATCCTACCTTGAAACATGCTTGAATGCCTCCACTATGACTGGTGCAAAGTCTTTTGTGAACTCTGGTCCTTTCCTTTTGCTGTTCTGAATGACATCATTGGCCAGGTAGAGAAAAGTAAGCTTCCTGTTGGGTTTGGCTAAAAAATGAGAAAGGGAAAAAAGTTAAGACACCACAACATTCTCACTGAACGTAGACAAACTTTTTTCCTGCTGGACCGGCTCCAGCTTCTTCCACAAACTAATCCACCACTGCTGCTGACACCACCAGGACAGCCACTCTCCCACTTCTGAAGTGGTCACGTGTGGGAAAACTAGAATCTCAGAGGCACACGGAGGGCAGTGATGGATCTTGCTGTCCCCTTGCAGGCTTATCATGGCACCTGAGCCACTTGTATCCTTCATTCCTGGTCTCACCATCTTTCCCAAGCTAAATAAACTATATATATAGACATCCTCATACATGCACAAAACTACATCTCTGAGATTCTATCACGCATTAAGCTTTACAAAAACTTGACTATTTAATAAGGTGATGATGGGGGCTGGAGAGATGGCTCAATGGTTAAGAACACTGGCTGCTCTTCCAGAGGACCCATGTTCAATTCCCAGCACCCACATGGCAGCTCACAACTGTCTGTAACTCCAGTTCCAAGGTTTCTGACACCCTCACACAGACATACATGCAGGAAAAACACCAATAAACATTAAACAAACAAACAAACAAACAGATTGCCTTTAATCCCAGCACTCAGGAGGCAGAGGCAGGTGGATCTCTGTGAATTCGAGGCCAGCCTGGTCTACAGATCAAGTTCCAGGATAGCCTGAGCTACACATAGAAACCCCATCTCAAAACAAAACATAAACAAAACCTCCACAAACAAACAAAAGAATCAGACAGGAAAAAAAATGTGATGACGAGTCACATTACTAAGACAGCATTTTAAATCTTGAGTTGAATTTAATATTGTTTTAATGGACTCAAAATGATTATGCTCTTGTGAAACAGAGTACAAAATATAGAACAGGTTACAAAACATATCACTCAATTATCTACGTTCACCCTATGCAATCAATATCTGCCATTTAAACATCGAAGAGACTAAATGATCCAAGGTTAGATTTTTCCTCTTTGTATTACATTATCTTAAATCACGGAGTCCATCCTCATGAAATATCCCCTACTTGCTATACTCCGAGGCATGCTCAATCCTTCTAGGGAAGCCACAAGGTTTCAATAACTGTGGTTACAGTATGTTTTTACCAGTTACTGCATCAGAGCACAATGGTATTAAATGACTCAAAATTCATACAGGGTAGCTAGGGCTGTGGTTCAGAAACAGGTTCTGGCATGTGATTCAATCCTCAGCAATGAAAAGAATTACAAGCCAAAGGAAAATTTAATGCTCAAATATGGTTCCACGGGAATTTAGTGTGAAGCTCTAAGTGAGGCGCAATTACACTCAGACACAGCACCCCGTCCCACCTACAGGACACCAGTTGGGAAATGTGGGTTCGCTAAACAGATTTCAGGCAGTATCTTCATCAAGCTGCTCTGACTAGTTTTGTAAATGAAAGCATATATTCAAACACCACTTTCCAGTTCACATCTTTAAGAGCGAGCTGGAAGCCCAGTCTTCCCCTATTACACATAAAACAGAGAGACGGATGGTTAGACGATAAGCTGAGCCGCTCTGCTCTTCAGCCTTCTGCCTGCGCCTTCTCCTGATGATAAAAGGTGCTGGTGTGGAGCAATGTAAAAGTGGCACTGGTTACAGGCTATGGCCAATGAAGACATCAAGACCCCCTCTCTCTCTGAAAAGAGGGATGTAAGGGCAACTTTCCCAGTATTTTGCCTTCTCTTTTTACTTATGAGCACTCTCTCAATCTCATCCATGCGAAAGGTTGAGTTATCAATTCAAGTTTTCACTTTCTCTCCCATCATCCCAAACCCATGGAATCGGTTTTCGTTTTCTCTTTCATCAAATTATTTTTCTAACTTTTATGATTTACTTATGTGTATATATGCATGTTACTTGTCCGAGTGTATATGATGTACTGCATGCATCATGGAGGTCAGATCCTCTGGGACTGGAGTTACAGGTGGTTGTGAGCTCCCCCATGTGAACTCAGGTCCTCTGGGAGAACAGCCAGTGTTCTTAATCACTGAACCACCTCTCCAGCCCAATTTGACAGTGTCTCTCTATATAATCCTGGCTGTCCTGAATTTTGCTAGGCTGATTTAGACCAAGCTTACCTCAAACTCAGAGAGCCTCCTGCCTCTGCTTCCTGAGTATTGAGATTAAAGACATGCCTCTACATCCAGCCTCCATCAAATGACTTTATTAACTTATTTATTTCTGCAGCCCACCGCTGTCCCCCACATATCAAATGATTTTTAAAACTTTTTTTAAATCTAAATAAGAGACTGCCTACAGTACTTCTGAATGGGAGCCTGAGCCAATGAATGGGGTCCTTTCTTAGTTATGACAACACTTTTTGAACTTTTACTATGTGCTACACTGCGGGATGTTTACCCTCCAACCCTACAGTTCCCCAGAGTTTTCTTGAGTATGAGCAGCAGGAAATATTAGATAGAAGAATTTAGAGTGTAGAGATAAACAGAAAATAAAGGACAGCCTCGAGAGGGCCTGGAACCTACTCCAATGGGCCTTGATTGTCTCTGCCCCAGGGTATTTATAGAGGCGTCAAGGGGGTGGAGCAAAAGACCTCCCCCCAACACAGCCAAGTGCAGACCATTTCAGACACCTGCACTCAGGCCTGTGGTTCAATCATCCTCTCTATGTAGACCTGCTGGGTAAAGCCACGAGGAACCTGAAAACATGCTCCCACACTACACACTACTCTAAGCAATGTATATATTATCTAATTTAACCCAAAGAATGTAAGGAATTGTTATAGCTATTTGGTATTGAACAAAGAAATATCAAAAAGGCTGTTTACCCATAGTGAAAGAGGTAGGCATGAAATCAGCCAAGATCTAACATCCCACATGTTCACTAATAGATAAAATGTGCTGTTCACCCTTCTGAATGCTATTCAGCCTGACCAAGGAAGAAAATTCTGACAGTCTACAACACAGATGAACTCTGAGGACATCATGCCAAGTGGAAGAATCCAGCCACAAACAGATAAGCACTCTTCTTCTTACGCAGTACCCTGAGTCAGACCACAGAGCCAGACACAGAAGGGCAGGGTTGCTGAGGTTCAGACGCCAAAGATACTGTTTCCTTTACAGTGAGATATCACATGTTCACAAGCTGAAGAGGTCCAAGGACTGGGAATACAGCTCCATGGAAGAACTTGGTATGCACAATGCCTTGGAGGGAAACAGGTAGAAAGAGAAGAGGGAGGGAGAGATGGAGGGAGGGTGGAGGGGAGAGAAAGGAGGGAAAGAGAGATAATATGAATTGGCTGGGTAAGTGTGAACAAGAATTCCTGGAAAGAAGCTATGCCTACAAAGGAGAGCTATGCAGAGGCTGGAATGTTACAGGCCCAGACTTAATGACAATTTAGCTATCTTTAACTCCCTAAATGGCCATTTCTTGACCACCTCTGAGCCAGACCTAATATCCTGTGACTAATAGATAAAAATCCTTTAGCGTGTGTGTGTGTGTGTGTGTGTGTGTGTGTGTATAGACCACACCCCCGCCTCCTTTCCAACAATTAAAGAGCTAAGAAAGGCCTTAGGTGATGGTGCATACCTTTAATCCCACCACCTGGGAGGCAGAGACAGGCAGATCAACATGAGTTTGAGGCCAACCTGGTTTAACAGCCAGGGATACACAGAAAAATCCTGTCTTGAAAAACAAACAAACAAAAGAGCTAAGGAAGAATGCTGTCTGGAAGCAACAAAGTCCTATAGCAGAGTTCTCCTCATTCTGCTATAATCTGCTTACCTGATGTACTCACCAATGTATTTGAAAAGTGTCTTAACTTTATAGCTTTCTTTGTTCTGTTACTATAGAAGTCCATGAAATTAGGCCAGGCACAGTGGCACTTGCCTTTAATCTCCACACTGAGGAGGCAGAGGCAAGCAGATCTCTGTGAGTTCCAGGCCATCCTTGTCTATATAGTAAGAGCCCATCTCAAAAAATAGACCCCAAAAAAAGTGGTGCTGAGGAGGCAGACACAAGTAGATCCCCTGGGCTTGCTAGCCACATACCCTAGCCTGATCAGCAAGACCCAGTGAGAGGATCTGTCTTTAAAAAAAAAAAAAAAAAGGAGGCCACAGACAGCTGTAGAAGAATAACCAGAGGTTTTGCTCTGGCTTCCACCCACACACTGCAAACCAGAAGATTGTTGGGGTCCTAACATCAATGCACTATTTTCAATTTTTCCTCTTTTGGAACCAAGGTTAAAATATGAGACATTCTGAGAACTCCTTATAGTCCTCTCACTCAAATTTTAAAAAAAAAATCAAGTATTTCCATTACAAATGATGTGTATTTCATAAAGCAAACAACCAGTGAAAAAAATCCTGACAACCTGGACACACACATTTAATCCCAGCACTCGGGAGGCAGAGGCAGGCAGATCTTTGTGAGTTCGAGGCCAACCTGGTCTACAAATCAGTTCCAGGAAGGAAGAAAGGGAGGGAGGGAGGGAGGGAGGGAGG